CTGAAAGCAGGTAAATGCTCATGATAGGTGCTTCAAAAGTCAATATCACAGACAATCCTCACGCTAGCCGTCGTCGTGAAACGATCTCGTCATCATCATCATCACCACCACCACCACCACTAACGACGCCTATTGTCATGAAAAAGGGCGAGCGTCTTCATCATCACAACAGGATAGCCATGACAGCAGGAGGGAGTGATTAACAAGAGGGATAGAACCAGTAACTAGAAGCACCAGCAGCAGAAGAAGAATAAGCGACGATGACCGCTCGAGTCCGCTTGAGGTTTTAAGGTTCAGGGCTCTAGGACTCTAGGCAGTCCAGACTTGAGCAACCCTATACCCAAACCCTACGCCCAAACCACGTACCCTAACAAATCCGGAAAACCTCCAAGCTGCTACAGGTAAGCTGCTAAGCCCAGATGCCCCGCAAAGAACGGAGGAGCGAACCTTTTGCTGATGTTCTGCCATCCAAGCATTTGCTTGAACAAAACAGCACGTCCCGGCAGTCGAGAAGAGGGGTTGCTCTAACTCTGTATATGGAGTCGTGGGGTTTAGCATTCGTTACTGTAGGGGGCTTGCATAGGCATTTAGAGGCCTGAGGATTTGTGGGGTGGGGGGGGGAGGACTAAATGTCAACTCATCCAACTCCGAGTTCCGCATACTTGTCTGGCGATTTTGGCTGGGCTCAGGTGTGTATGGGGTTGCTTATGTGGGGGTCTACAGTTGTCGACTCCATAGTGACGTGTCACGTGCGTGCATAGTTGCAGTTCGGATTATGTACATGGAGAACTTCAAAGCGCCACTTCGTGGCATGATGGGGCTGATCCTGAGACTGCAAAACGATAAGACTTCATCTGTCTAGCTGCTGCCTTTTTTGACTATAGAGTCTCATTCATATTCAGAACATATGCTTCCAAATGTAGACGAAAATCGTTCGTCAGAGCAAATTAGGCGCTGCAAGTTTTAAATACTCATCCTTCCGGTCAGAAGTGAGGAGCGTAAACCGTCAGTAAACTCCTCACTTGCCCACGATGCCCTGGCGGCCTCTGATCTCTACAGGCGTTGATGCTTCACCTTAACCCTGAAACGAGGGTACTGCTCATGTTCATATGAAAACTTAAAAGAAGAGAGGAGCTGAACAAAGAAACTATAATAATCAATATCATAGCAATATCAATACTAATGATCACCCTCATCATCATAACAAAAATTAAGAGCAACAACGACAAGCTGATCTAGTAACAATCATGACAATAACAACAGCCATAACAATAACAATACCAATACCAATAATATTTCCAATAACAACAGTAACAATAACAGTAACAACAAGAACAACAACAACAACGACAACGACAACGACAACGACAACGATAATGCTCATAGTATTTAATGGCAACACATACAACATAATAATAACAATAAACACTAACAGCGACAGGAATGAGAATAGTAATCGTACGAAGAATAACATTAACAACAAGAATAATGATGTTTCGGTGGCTTTCTTGTCACTAGGCATCTCGAGAAACCCATGTGTAGGAGTTGGGATTTAGGGGACCCTTGGGGGTATAGACCCTCTCAATAAGGTCCCTGTTAAGAGAGCCATAAGTAGGGTTAAGAAGGGTCCCCTTTCCGGGGTCTCCCTAATACTACTTGGATCTAAACCCAATTCCCAAAAAATCAGGTCGAAGACCCTAAACCCTAGACCCCAAACCCTAAACCCTAAACCCTAAACCCTAAACTGAACCCTAAACTCTCAGGCTTCAGTATGATAAACTGCCTAGGCCTGTGCCAAGTGACCCGAGGCTCGCTCCGGTCTGGGGCCGCCGCGGCGACAGGAGCCCTTCTTAGGGGGTTTTAAGGGTGTTTTCGGGGGGGTTTTCGGGGGGGTTTAAGGGGTTTACGATGGGTTGTAAGGGGGGGTTTTAAAGGGGGTTTTAGGGGTGGTCTTCAGGGGGTTTAAGGGGTTGAGGGAGGGTTGAGGGGGGTTTGAAGGGGGGTTTTAGGGTGTAAGGAGGGTTAACGGGTTTAAGGGGGTTTTTAAGGGGGGTTTTAAGGGTGGTTTTGAGGGTATTTTAAAGTGGTTCTTGGGGGGTTTTAGGGGGGGTTCCGGGGGGGGTTGAGAGGGGTTTAGGGGGTTTTGGGGGGGTGGATTTAGAGTTCAGGGGGTACGCTCCACTCCACTTTCTCGATATTTGGAGCTGGAGGCTTGCCGCTCAGGGTTGCAACAGCACGATTTAGGGTTTAGGGCTTAGGGTCGAGGCCCCTGTCTGCGCAGCGCTTCGACAGCAGGACCCTGTGAATATCTGAAATCAGCTGCTGGAGCGCGTCTGTTGAAGCATGCGAGGGTTTGTAGACATTCCCCGAACCAGGAAACCCTCGACCCTGCTTTAGTGTATGGAGGTTTAGGTGTTTTCGGGTGTCAGGGTTTAATTAGGCCATAGAACTCCAGGTGGTCTAGGGCTTTTTCAGCAAGGTGTAAGCGGTTTAAGGGTAGGTTAAATTTCTGATTAGGGTTATGACGATTTAGATCTTACCCTAAACCCTAAACCCTAAACCTAGGTCGACAGTAGGTAAAGTTCGTGTTCGGGGTTGGCTCGGCGCAGCTCCAGATCTCACAGGGCGGATAGAGAGGAAATCCACGGCGTGGGCGCTCGCTCTTCCGGATTGGAGGGTTCAGGAACTTACGTTTAGGGTTTAGGGTTTAGGGTTTAGGGTTTAGGGTTTTAGGGTTTTAGGGTTTAGGGTTTAGGGTTTTAGGATTTAGGGTTTAGAGATGATGCGGCGGACACGTCGGACAAAGAAGATTCACTGAGTGCTGATCATCACCACGGCCCCAAATACGGGGGCCTTCATGATTCCAATAGTGGTTTGGGGGTAGATTCTACAGTATATGATCCCGATTGTTGGGGTCTACACCCTCAGAGTTTCTAGCAGGCCAAAACCACAAGAGAAAAAGACAGGGGGCATATCGAGTGCATCAACTATTTGCACAACAATTTATGCTTAGCAATACTCTGCTGGCACGTGAAATTCAACGATGCCGATAGAGTGTCAACATACGATTCAGAAAACGATAGACAGACGGCTAGACTGAAAACATGGTTGACTGATAGACAGAGAGACAGAAAGACACACAGACGGATACAGATACAGATGCACATGCCGATGCAGATGCAAATAGACTAGATACAGACCGAGTTATACAAGTAAATACAGATACGGATACAGATGTTTACAGATACACAGATGTAGATAGAGACGGACATATGAGTGCAGAAAGAGATACAGATATATAGATAAAAACACAGAAATATACATAGATACATAAATGTAGATACAGATGAAGACGTAGATGTAGATATAGATACGGAAATCGGTATAGATACAGATAATCAGACGAAGCTTCGTATCAGTTTAAGAGCGGTTGGGGGGACGATCAGATCATGCATCAACTTAGCTAGGTTTCAGTGAGGAGTGGGAGGTGAAGCATGTGCTGCTGCACAATTGCTTCGGACTTTTAACTTCCCAAGGCCATGACATTAAAGCACTTACACCATCAAGTCAGGAAACTAAGAATTAACATACCAAAGACAAGAATGCAGGCCACTTCGGACTAGGGCACTGAAAAGACAAACCATGAGTCTTGCAAGCTCGTTGGCCTGGGATTGCTTTAGTTAACCAAGGAAGCAGAAACCAGCAGGACGATCATTAACTCAGAAAAGAGATCATTAGCATGAGGAAAGAAACCTCATGACGCGTGGGGCAGGTAGCTCCCCAGATTTGCGCATGTCTCTGCATCGCTCCTCACTCCGACTTCCCTTGTTGGTGAAATCAGTGGTTTGTACCGGGTGCTACGAGTGGCTCTACAACCAAGGCTACGGCTATAGGTCGCTATGACTCTATGACCCTTCATGGGGTTTAGGCTGAGGGTTTCAGAGCGAAGCAGAGCACACAGCGGGCAACAGGCCCGGTTGAGACGACGAAAACTTCGGTGCAGAACATCTCGGCGCATCGGTCGATTGCAAGCCAAAACGGGCTGTGGAGATTCCAGGGCCTCAGTTTCCCTCATGTGATCCCTACCATGTGGCCCAGTTAAGTTAAGGCTGTTAAGATCGCTGAGGCTCTTAAGATCCCCTAAACCCTAAACCATAAACCCTAAAACCCTAAACCTTAAACCCTAAACCCTAAACCTTAAACCTTGTGTTTAGATTGTAGGGCTGGGTACTCCCTGACATGGTCCCTACTACGGAGATCGACTCCTGGCTAAAGCCCCACCAAAAAAGACCAGGGTTTAGGCCTTCTAGGCTTAACCCTAAATCCCAAATGCCGGACCTTGAATCCGAAACCCTGCAGCTCCAAAATTGATTGAAAAACCTTGCTTCTTATGATCGGCTCCTTAGAAGCTGCTACAGTCAGGCCCGGTCCCAAGTTTCCGGGAGTTTCGGAGGTTTAGAGCTTATAGGATTTAGGGTTGAAGGTTTTAGCAGCTAGGTTCTGCGGTGTTGTGGTGGATGGGCGGTATTTGGGGACGTGAAGCCTAAACCCTAAACCCATGTTCCGAGCAACTGCACCGGTTAAAGGCAGAGCCTCAGCGAAGCTGCTGGAAAAACCAGATGGGGGTTTCCGAAAATAGGGGACCCTAATATAGTACCCTAAATAGTAGGATCCTTATTCTAAGGACCCCAAAATAAGGTACCCCCTAATTTTCGGAAAGTCCCCAGATGCTTCGAATGAACGAGGAAGTCTCCGCAAGCATGCAGCTTTTGAATTCCCAGGTTCTCACGAACAGTATGCGTCCCAAGCGCTGCCACGTCTTGAAATCACGGCTTGAGATTAGGGTTTTGGGACAACTTATACCATATGAACAATAGGGCCATAGGGACTATAAGATTTTTAGCGCCGAAAGGATTTATGCTCACCTGCTGCAGACGACAACGAGAAGTGCCGCAGCAGGTTTACTGATCCATGAAGAAACGCTTCCGTGCGACTGCGGCCCGGAGTGCTTTGGGCTGGTCCTCGATCTCCTTCATCGCCTGGGTTGTAGTTTGGGGGCCCTGAAAAGTATTTATGAATAGGTACCTCTATAGAAACCATAAGGGAAATTCTATAAAGTTTCCCTAATTGCCACCTTGTCACGCTCTCCAGCTGCTTCACCCAGTGTTTGTGGGTGAAATTGATTGGTGCACTTGCATGGGCAGCTGTGTAGGGATTGGTCCGGTCATCCATAGAGTGAAAGCTGTGACTCCGCTCCTTGAAGCGCACTTCAGGAGTGATGACTCCAGATTCATCTTGAAAGACTCCCATCTGGGCGCTTTCCACGACGGTGCTTGTGGTACAACCCATTCGCGCGCTCAACTGAACCACGGATGGAAACAGATCGAGCTTTGAGACAAGTTGAGCCTCAAACTCACGGCGTCTGAGGGATCCACGACGTTGGCTTCCACTCTCTTGGTGAGCTGGAGCTTTGGTATTGGTGACACTTCAGAAACTCTTCAGCTTTGTTGAATATTCAGGGTTTAAACTTTCAACCCGAAACCCTAAATCCTAAACCCTCAACCCAAAGCCCTAATTTAGAAATCTTGGGCTGAAGATTGCATGTTGCTGCACAGGACTCCACGCACCTTCACGAAGCATGGGGCTTCGGCTTTTACTGGGTTTACCTTGTAAGTGTGCCGACTTCTTCTGCTGATCACTTGCCTTCTCTTCTCAACAGCTGAATACCCCGGATATAATAGTCAAGTTATGGAGGGATCCTGAAGAAGCTGCTTCAGAGTATATTACGTGATGAAAGCCGCACGGAGCAAGCCCCTTTCCCTGCCAGTACCGCGCAGTGCCTCGCATCCCTCATCCGTTGCCGTGAAGAAGCCTGGGTCCACGCTTCCTTAAACCCTAAACCCTAAACCCCTAAACCCTGAACCCCTAAAACCCCTAAACCCCTAAAACCTAAACCCTAAACCCCTAGAATCAGGGTCGCAGCTTAGGTTTGAAGGGGTGAGTAGTTGGGGACCCTGGACCCTAAATCCTACAGTTTAAGCTTTAGGCTTCAGGGTTTAGGGTGTGCTGGTGTGTGCACACCCAGGCCGCTCGCGCCTGTGCGCAGCAGACAGCCCACCTCAAGACCACCCTGAGTTCCAGTATTTTAGGGCTTAGCCCTGAAAATCTTCCAGGCATCTCATAAGTCTGTCCCTTTCTGGATTGGGCTTTCTGTGAGGCTGTGCTGGCGAGTCTCATGTGGGCTTTCTGTAAGGCTGTCCTGGCGGGTGCCAGTTCGTTTGGGCTTTCTGTAAAGCTGTCCTGGCGGATGCCGGAAAAAACACTGGGCTTTCTGCGCTCTAACTCGTAAAGGGTTAGGGGGTGCAACCCTTGTCGTGGTCCTTTTTCTACGGGTGCCGTACTATATTGGGGACCGAAAAAGGGGCCCGGATTTAGAGAACTAACCATTTGGGTGCCATCGAAATCTAAGTGTCTATGGGTCTGGCAGTCTTACAGAGCCTCATGAGGGTTTCCGAAAATAGGGGACCCTAATATAGTACCCTAAACAGCAGAACCCTTAATTATAAGGACCCCAAAATAAGGTACCCTAATTTTCGGAAAGTCCCTCATGGGTTTGAAGTTGGTAGACAGCACTCAAAGTCTCCAGTTTCTGCGAGAAGTGCAAGCCGAGAGATTGCCCATGAAACTTTTGATGAACTCCATGCTGCAGAGACATGCAGCAAGCTTAGGGTTTAGGGTTTAGGGTATAGGGTTTAGGGGGTTTCCGAAACCAGCCTTCCATAGCCTTCATGTAGGGGTCTTAATTTTTTGGGGGGGATAGTACGTACAGCATATGAAGACCTAGAATAAGGAATCCCAAGGGATGGTCTTACTAATGAATGTTCAGGCTCCTATCTTAACCTCAGGGGGCTCCATGCTACCCTTAGAAGTCAGGGTCTGGAGGATAGACTCTCGCAGATTGGGACCCACGCAGGGACAAAAAGCCTTAGGGTAAGGGTTTAGGGTTCAGAGTTCAGGGCTTAAGGCTTAACGTTTAGGGTTTAGGGTGTATCCGAACAAGCCGACCGACGCATAGATGGGCCCCTGACTTCAAGAAAGATATGCGCCGCAAACCCTAGCCCTGCACTCGCACATCCTTCACTACAAGAAACCCACTATACTAAACCTCCTAAACTCCACCATCATGGCACTAAAAACTCCAAAGACCCAAAACCTAAATGCCCCAGACCCCTTAAACCCTAAACTCCAAAACTCACACCCTCAACCCCTAGGACCCTAAATTAAACCCTAAACCGTGAACCACTACGGATCCTAAACCCCAAAACAAGTGCCTGGAGGCAGTAGCCACGCCTCGATAATCCGATTTCATTGGCTTCACCGGCCTGAGACTAAGTTGGGACAAAGGGTTTAGGGTTTGGGGCTTGGGCTGTTCAGGCTTTCGGCTTTAGGGTTCAGGCTTTAGGACTTGGGCTTCGGGCGTTAGGCTTTGGGCCAGCAGAGCGCTCTTTCGGATTGATGGGCACCGATGGGAACCAGCCGGTTTTAGTGCTGTTTGGCGACAAGCCAATAGATATCAATGGATGTTGAGAGCAACATTCGTCATGCAGTAGGATGTTGGTCAGGCCAGCATGTGGGTCCAGTTCGAGTCCAGTTCCGCTTGCCAGTTCAAGTCAAGATGCAGGTACGTATGCCAATGGATGTCCATCTGTACGTGTGTACAAATGCGGCACCCTCCCATATGTATGTACACATGTACATACATGTACACAGGCGAACGCAGACTTGTCTCTTGTTCTGGAGCAGCTTTGTGCAAGCAGTCGTTCTCAACACTGCTACCAAGACCGGTGTTTTAAGCCGTAAACCCTAAGACCCCGAAACCCTAAACCCTAAACCCCAAACCCTAAACCCTAAACCCCTAAACCCGCTGGG